GATTGAAAACTGGGATTTAATCTCTGCTTTACCATCATGTTTGAGATTTTTTAAACAATCCACTGTTTTGTGTATGTTCTGATAGTTGTCTTTGCGACACCGCAGAAGGGACTATTTAAAAAAGTATAATAGATCATATTAGAGCATTATGAACATTATGATATTATGTAATTAGCCGTTATTTAACAAAAAATAAAATTTCCAGACCTTCCTTAATTTCTTAGAAACTTTATCAAATAATTCGTCTGTCCCAATTTTAGCTAAAAATGTTGTTCATTGGGATGATCATATTAAAAATCAAGAAACTTTTGAACCGCCTTGTATACATAAACATATTCATTTTCATATAATATGGTAGACATTTTTACGTCGATGAGGTGGTTATCTGATATATTTTTACTAATTTTAAAATATAAAAATGCCATTTACGATGTTTTATGTAATGCGAGAGCATTTTAAGCAAATTGAATGATTAAATTTTATTGTTTTCGAAATAAATTATTTAACTGTGTTTTTATCTTAAAAAAACATGATAAACTAGGTTCTTAAAGTTAATCTAAGTTTGAAAGTTTTAGAGTTATCGTGACACATCTCAAATTTGTATTTTTACCAAATAAAAAACTAAGGTACGGGCGATTATAAAGATAACTCTTATGTAATATATTTCGAACTATTTATTTTTCAAATTTATTATTGTCTTCTTTATTCCGAACGTGTATCTATGTAACAAAATACCGGTAAAGTGATAAAATTGAACATTTAAAATGTTTTAGATAAAGTTAATGATTTCTAGGAACCAGATGTGGCAATTGTCTTTTTTAAACCGTGATTTCAGACATCTTACACGTTTACAAAACGATATACCAATTAAGTAAATTAAATATTGAAACGAATAATCCTCGTTTTACCCGTTTATTTACTAAATTTCAACCACAAAGTTTGCTAAAATTACATATCGCTACTTACGTTGTCCTCATTTTTAATAATATATAACGTTATGTGGATACAATCGAGCACATGTTTTCGATAAGTACGCCTATTTGAACGTTCAAAGACACAACATTTATTCAAGTAATGTAAAATCATCATAATTTTAAATGCAAAAAGAAATATACACTTATACGATCGTTGTGCGTGCAATGTTAAAGATATGGCAGGTTCTATAAATGTTACACATGGTCAAAAATTACTGTATCTTATAAAAACTAATCTGAGACAAAATAAGAGCCAAAAATATGTGTCCAACACATGATTTTCCTGTAAAGTTATATTATCCATCTAATCAAAAAGTGTTTAGAACATTTTTTAACCCGACTTCAAAAAAGGGGGAGGTTCTCAATTCGTCGGAATATTTTTAATTTTTTTTACGTATGTTCAACGATAATTCTTCATCATGTTATCGGATTTTAATGATTATTTTGTTGTTACAAAGAGGGTAGGTACATCAGAGGTGGTCCTCTATAAATTTGGTTAAGACCTGATAATAGTGTCCATGAGAAAATTCTCAAACTCTTCATTTTGTATGTAATATCAGCAATAATTCTTTACCACCTTGTCCCATTTTTATGATTATTTTTTTGTTATAAATAGGATATCTTAGGGGTGATCCTATATAAAATTGGTCAAGATCTATTAATTGTGTCCATGAGAAAATCCTCAAACTCTTAATTTTTTTAGGTATGTTCAGCGATAATTCTTTACCACCTCGTCCGATTTTTATGATTCTTTTTTTGGTATAAAGAGGGTATCTCATGGAGGATCCTATATAAATCGAGATCTGGTGATGGCATCTGCACAATTTTGAAGTCGGTTTTTTAAAACGACTTTTATAATTTGTTCATACCTCTATACTGCCAACGAAAATGCTTGAAAAAATAAATTTTACATTTTCCCTCAAAATCATGTATGGGACAAAAATGATAGAGAATCACATCACAAACATCTGTTATTGAAACAAATTTCTTCTATAATTATAAATTACAGAAAAATACCGTATATTACAAAAATTACCCCTATAAAATACCCCTCAGATGCTCCGACTATGGCCAAAATCAAATTAGCTCACAGAAGTTTAAAATTTGGTATTTTTCTCTTTATCCGTTTTTGAGCTATAGTCGATACATACCCATATACAAATATCATCACGAAAATGGTCAAATCCGATTAAAGGGTACCCCAAAATATAAAGATAATGATTCCTATACTATCCCTACTAGATAAAAAGAGATGCAGCTAATGGACCTGCACCAAAAACACACTGCAAGTAGTTGAGAATAAATAATTAATGATGACGTTCTATTTGTCAATAAAATTATGCATATGCAACTAACAATACAAGAAAGTAATATTGGTTGCCTAAATGTCAGTACTGTTTTAACAAAACATAAATAATTTAGTCAAAATTAGAAAAAATGTAACACGTTACAAAATGCCTTTTTTGTAACTCGTTCATGATGCGGGACCTCGCTCTGCTCGTCCCGCAAATATTCACTCGTTACATAAAATAAGGCATTTCATAACTGATTTCATAAGTAGCTGTTACATCATCTTAAACAAATCGGATCATATTGTTATAGTATCGCTAAAATTATTAATAGTTTAATTGAATGCAACCAATTCCATGTTTCTGTTTCACTCTATACATTTATGAATTGAGGCATAGTCGGAGCATTTGGGAAGGTACTTTATAAGGTGCAATTTTTATAATTTAATGTGTAGTGCTGTTATTTGTGATTATAGAAGAAAATTCTTTCAGTAAGAATTGTTTATGATGTCATTCTCTATAATTTTTGTATTATACAATATTTCTCTAAAATGGACCGTAATGTAGAAATTAAAAGAAAAATGTAAAATTTGAATATTTTTCGTTGGCAATGATTAGAGAAATCATATTCTAAATATTTTTTAATTAGATGGACCATACCTAATGTTTCAGATAACTTTACAGTAGTCACATTTTCTTTTTCCTATAATGTTAATGAAACATTTTTATTTTTTTTTTATTATACAGAGTGGGCCATTAGTGCCTGGGTGGAAGATTGCGGGTTTATTAAGGTACATTTTTAAAATTCATTTTTGGTGCATGATGTAGGACCTCTAAGGCTACAACCTAATTAAAAGGTTTTACAAATTGAAAAATTCTGTGAATTAATAGAATTTTTTAAATAAAAAGAAATCTGTAAAAGATAAATATCAACATATTTTTATATCATTAGAAAGGTAATCGAATTCTGCATGTAATGAAATGAAAAAAATTTGGTAGTCCCATTTAAAATAATCAAGTTACCTTGTATTGAAATTTTGCAAATTGGCGTAGTGATTACTTTAAACACGAAAAGGGTTTGACTTTGATCGTCTGGCAAATGTTAGTACATTTCATCCTTAGTAACACTGTAGAGTCACGGCCTTCTAAGTTTTATAATAACTGCGATATTCAATTTTTACTAGACATCTGCGTTTTGAAAAAATAATAATTACTGATTAACGACTCATTTTAGATACCATGTGTGATACATAAAGTCACACTAAAATTTACCGACGAATTCAAATATGCAATAATATTAAAAAAACATAACTTTGATATAAATCACCCTGTAGAACAATTGGAAATATTTTTAGGTTGTAGCCTTAGAAGTCCTACATCATGCCCCAAAAATGAATTTTAAAAATGTACCTTAATAAACCCGCAATCTTCCACCCACGCACTAATGGCCCACCCTGTATTCCTATTAGTTCTTAATACCCTTTCAGATATTTTGTATTTATAATTTTACTCTATAGTGGAAAACTAAATGGACAACGATATTTAGACATTTTAAACGAACACATATTCGATGGATTTTTTGGACGACTTAATGCTCAATGAGGAAGAGATATATTTTTTCAACACGATGGGACACCCCCTCACAATACTAGAGACGTCTCTGAATTGTTAAATCGTCATTTTAGAGACAAAATGACCGGTAAGGTGGCCACCACGTTCACCAGATTTAACACCTAAAGGCATTTTCTACCTGATGTTAAAAACATAAATTAATAAGCTCGCACCAAATGTATATATTTTGTGACTAATAAATGCTGATAACTGAAGATTTCATTATGGATTTTAGACACTGTAGAACTTTTATCGTAAAACAAATAATAAAATAGTTTTCCATGTGGCGTCAATTTAAGTTAACATACTGTATATATTTACCTACACCTATAATAATAGTTACTTTTCTTATAAGACGAACCAATGACAATACGGGGTTTGCTCATGATTCGTTTAAAATTATTTCCTTAATATCTACAGCTGGATGTTTTTTTATATCTGTCTCGAACTGTCTAATAGGCTATCAGTAGTATCTTCTGCATATACTGACCTAGACATTTTATTACAATATAACTAAAAAGGCTTCTAACATATTTCTTTGGCATTTGACGTTTATTTTTATTTTTCTGGTTTTAGCGAAAGAGTACACACTATAAATTATTTGTATTGAACAATAATCAATTTTAAATATTTTAAGATTGTTTCTAGGTAGGTACATTCTCTAAATATAATAATTTTGACAGACCCCCATTATACATTTTAAATCAAAAATAATATTTTTGTCTTCAGTAATTTAATTTAAAACTTTCAGTCTTTTATACATTGTTTAAAACAATTTTTCTTCTGCATTTGATGATTTTTTAAAACAATTTAACATGTTCTAAATTCTATAAGTACATTTCTATTTCATCTCCCATAACAAACAATTTTGATCGCAGTAAATTGTTTATTGTTATATTAATTTTTCATAAATTTTGTCTCTGTAAGACCTCAAGGCACACCGGTACCATGGTTTGTCGAATTTAAGTATTTCATCATCGATTTAAGAAAATTTCATCATTTTGCCGGTAATCATAACAAACTATACTCCAAATAAATTATTTAACAATTATTTAAGTGGGTTTTAAAAATCACGTGTTGCATGCAAATATTTTTTTATTAATTAATTAATAAATAAAAAACTCACCAGCAGCTTTGTTCCTGGCTAACCCCCTGTCTTCGTCTAGTAAAGGCGATTTTGTCCTAGTTTCTATAGTCGCCCAAAGGGCAATAAACAACACCAAAAACTTTAAAACTTCCATTCTCGAAAATGGAACGACGGCAAAGTTATCGCACTGCACTCACCACACGTAAAAAATAATTAAAAAAATTATATCCCAAAGAAAAAAAATCTATTTCTCCAACATATCGTAAACTTTTTTTTATATAATAGCTCCGAACAGTTACGACTATTCTGGCTTAGCACCGAAAGTAAACTAACTCACTGTCTGACGGTTCGCGACGTTGTTCTCTACGTCGAGTACGTCCTCCCTACTCCTTTGGTCCTGGAGGATACCCGCCACAGGATAACTGTCGGTTTGGACCAATGGTAAGGCCGATAGAGACATGGGTTTGACCGAAAAGGACTTGCAATAAGAAAAGCGAAAATTCACCATTCACTTTGGACGAGCAATGATAAAGGCGATGATAAAAAGAAAAGTGTAATCAAGATGGTTTTTAATCTGAGATAACCCCACCATTCTTAACAGATATTCCAAATGGGATTACGTCTAGCATGGTACTTTCCCGCCCTCTATGAATATTTGTAACTCAGCAAAACGACTTATATGAAAATGTTACAAATATGAATTAAAACTGATATTATTCTGCAAAATTTGGTTGGCTAATTTTGGTATATTTTTTGCAATAGGTGCAGAATATAATAAATGAAAATAAATGATTTATTTTTATTATAAAATAAATTATAAGATAGCCCACATTTATGCACTTAAATATACGAGGTGTTTCATTAAGTAAGTAATTTGATTTGTTCAATTTTTTCAATCATTTTTGCTTTTCTTATTAGTATATTTAAATGATTGCGGTAATTTTTAAAATTAATTTAATTTTCTTCTTTATAATTATTTTTTATCAGTTTGTATTAATTAGTGTATTCTTTTGATTGTTAAATATCCGAATTTTAATTTAATTTCTCTTTAATTTTACTTTATGCATATTATGTGCAATTTTAGTTTGTTTGTTTATAAAATTTGTATAGCTCTGGTATTCATTTTATTTGTACCATTCATATGTATAAATATTCTTACAGGAAAATGTTTAGCTTAAACTATAAAGATTTAACCCAAATATTGCTCCTTACTGAGTAACATTTATATACAGAGTGTTTCGCACTGACACAGGTCAGGTGCAAAATATGAATATTATCTCTATATCAATAGTCTAATCAACAAGTTCAAAAGCGTGTTTTTGGGACATACTATTACGAAAATTATGTTCAATAGCTCATTCGATTCGAAATAATGTCTAGATCAATGTGTGAAGAAAAATTTTGCAGTGCATGAAAAATTGCAAAAGTTATAAACAATTAAACACCTGGTTTTTCGCTTATAGTTTGTAAACTATAAATATGTTTGGATTTTTCAAAAAAGATCCTTAAAGAGGAGGAAATTTGCTATAAATAAGTTATGACTCCCGGAACTGTACCTCCATTATTTATAATTTTAATTTAACGCTCAAAGTAGACTTCTGCGCGCCATTTTTAGGTTGCGCGCACGGCGTCGAAACCGAGTACGTTACAAAAAATAATTTTTTTAAGTTAATAAAATTAAATTCAAAAATTTTTAAAAATTACGGTGTATTCTAAACACTTAGAAGAATTCATTCCCGTTGGAATTTTTCATAAAAATTAATTTTCCAACAAAGTAGGTTATTGTTAATTAACAAAATTTTTAGAATTTCTCTCATCATTACAAATTGATAAAAATATTAAATAATTAATTACTGTACATTTTTTTGCTCTTTTTATATACATTTAAAACAAAATAGCTTTATAAAAATGTTAATACTTTGTTTATAATAATTTTTTAAAGTTTACATAAACAGAAAAATCACAGTGGTGCTATAAAAATTTTTTTTTTCAATTTATTATATTACTGTTTTAATGTCGAGAAAAGACATTTATTAATTAAAAAAAAAATTTTTCCTCCATTTGTTTATAGTTTTTTTATAAACAAATGGTTTATTTCAATTTTTTTCAAACTTTTTTTTACAACTTTCTAGACAATAGCCAATTATGATTTAAAAAATGTTTTTTCTTAATAATAACTTTTAATTGTTTATAATCGTTTTTTTAATATATCTATTGTTTAAATTATTAGTTAAGAAATGTGTGTTTCTTTAAATCATAATTGATAGTCCTCTACAAAGTGACAGCAAAAAAAACTTTTTTTATTATTAATTCCATTGTTTATTAAGTTAACAAATTGTTATAAACAAATTCCCAACTTTGGTTTATTTTTTTCCTGAAAGAAATAAAAATTCCAAAAACGACTTAGTGCATTAAAATTACGGAAAAAATTTAATTCCATTTTTTATTAAACTTTGAAAATATACGTACTATCAAAGTTGCAGCCTGATCCATTTGTTGACTTAAAAGTTGATATAACTTTTAAAATATTGGAGATACGACAATAAACATTAAAGTCATTTTTTTAGGCAATGAAAATATCTCTCAGATAAGTCATTTGTCAATTCCGTACCTATTGTCAATTTGTTGTTTTTTTATATTTGTTTATAAAAATTGATTTTTTTTAAGTTTAATAAAAAATGGAATAAAATTTTTTCCGCAATTTTAATGCACTTTAATTTCATATAAACTTTTATGAAACTATTTTGTTTTATATGTATACAGGGTTGGCCAAACCTCTGTCGTAGTTCTATAACTCCTATTATGCAAATCTTAACGATTTATTCGAAGTATGTCTGTCAATGGTGGTCAAAACCAAATATCCCAAAATTATTTTCTTGTGTACAGGGTGGCCCAATAGTAAATTAGGCAAATCACTTATTTTTTTTTTAAATGGAATGACCCAACTTTTTTTCCAATTTTAGGTACTCTATGGTCACTAGTGCATACCCACAAAATATTGTTTCTAACATCCTACCTCTTTCGCAGAAAAAGAAGAAATACCAAAAAATATTACATTTTCAGACGCCTATTAAAATATGCAGTGCTCTCTCGAATTTGACGTTAGAATTTAAAAAACTACAAATGTATAAAGCCAATAGACCAAAGATTTTTTTAGACCAAGTTTTAATTTTTTATTTTGTACACGGTGGTCACAAATTAATTTCAATTTCCAAAAATTTCTAGGACATTTTTTTCAAATTTTTCAAATAGAACACCCTGTATTACTATTCATCGATGAAACGAGAATTTTATACCCTTCGACTTCCCCATGTACTTTCCTATACCTATCTGTCGTCGTTTAAAAGTAAATTCCAAAAAGACATTGATCTATCAAAAATCCAATTTCTACCAGTGGTTTTATTGAAAGTGAACATTCAATCAAGTAGGCTGGGTCTTAATGAAGTGTCGGATTATTTATTAATGAAGTGTCAAGTTATTTTTACTGATCGCGATAATTCTTCTATTAATAATGAATTTTACGAAAAACGAATTAATTGACATGGTCTATGTTTTGGGAGAATCCGACAGAAATTGTTTATTGGCAAAAAGAATTTATCATCAACGATATCCCGATAGACGCATCCCTGATCAAAAAAGTTTTGAAAAGTTACATGAAAGATTTACCGAAACAGGAAATGTTGCTTATAAAAACCAATAATTGACAAACGTGCTACTGATAATGATAACCAATTATCTGTAATTTTGACAGCGATAGAAGATCCTCATGTAAGTCAAAAAAAGATTGCCGAAGTAGTAGGTATAAGTAGAACATCCGTTAGAAGGATTTTAAAACAGCATCAACATCATCCTTATAAAACACAATTGCATCAAGAGCTGAAAGACACCGATTTTGATAATAGAATGGTGTTTTGTAACTGGGCACAAACTAAACTGCAACAAAATCAATTTTTTTTTGATAGAGTGCTGTTTTCCGATGAATCTACATTCCACAAGAACGGATTCGTTAATAGACATAATTTCCACTATTATTCCACGGAAAATCCTAACATCATCAGAACACATAGCCAAGAAAGATGGAGTGTAAATATTTGGGGAGGTATAATTGGGGATCATGTTATTGGGCCGTATTTTTTGAAGGCAACTTAAATGGTCTGATGTATTTAGATTTTTTAGCAAATCATCTTCCTACTTTACTTGAAAACATTTTCCTTGCTGTAAGACTAACAATGTGGTACCAACATGATGGGGCAGCAGCGCATTTTTTACGCGAAGTGGTAGATGAATTAGATGAAAAGTTTCCAAATATATGGATTGGTAGAAATGGTCCAAAAAAATGGCCAGCTCGATCACCTGACTTAACAAAACCCGATTATTTTTTGTGGGGTCATATTAAAAATCTAGTCTATCTTACGCCACCTACAACACCTGAAAATATGAAAGAAAGGATAGTGCAAGCTTTCCATTCCATTACACCTGATATGCTTAGAAACGTTTCTCGATCATTCGCCCAACGAATAAATGTATGCATTAGAGAAAATGGCAGACATTTTGAGCATCTTTTATAAAATGTAAATTTATGTTTTAGGATAAATTTCAAATAAATTTTATTATCGTAATTTTCTTCCTTTTGAATTTATTTTATAACGGCGACAGATAGGTATAGGAAAGTATATAGGGAAGTGGAAGGGTATGAAATTCTCCTTCAGTTGATGAATAGAAATACAGGGTAATACATTTGAAAAATTTTAAAAAATTTCCCTCGAAATTTTTGGAAAGTGAAATTAATTTGTGACCACCCTGTACAAAATAAAAAATTCAAACTTGGTCCAAAAAAATCTTTGGTCTATTGGCTTTATACAATCGTAGTTTTTTAAATTCTAACATCAAATTCGAGAGAGCATTGCATATTTTAATAGGCGTCTGAAAATGTAATATTTTTTAGTAATTTTTTTTTTCTACGAAAGGGGTGGGATGTTAAAAACAATATTTTGTGGGTATGTACTAGTGACCATAGAGTACCTAAAATTGTAAAAAAAGTTGGGTCATTCCATTTAAAAAAAATTAAGTGATTTGCCTAATTTACTATTGGGCCACCCAGTACACAAGAAAATAATTTTGGGATATTTGGTATTGGCCACCATTGACAGGTATACATCAAATAAATCGTTAAGATTTGCATAGTAGGAGTTATAGAACTACGACAGAGGTTTGGCCAACCGTGTATAAAAAGAGCAAAAAAAAATTACGGTGATTATTTAATATTTTTATCAATTTGTAATGATGAGAGAAATTCTAAAAAATTTATTAATTAACAATAACCTACTTTGTTGGAAAATTATTTTTTATGAAAAACTCCAACGGGAATAAATTCTTCTAAGTATTTAGAATACACCGTAATTTTTTTAAATTTTTGAATTGAATTTTTTTTACTTAAAAAAAATATTTTATGTAACGTACTCGGTTTCGTTGCCGTGCGCGCAACCTAAAAATGGCGCGCGGAAGGCTACTTTGAGCG